TCCCTCTGTTGTTGCTTTCTCTTTCTGTCTTACTTTTCCCCGCTCTAAGTGACCGTAGTAGTGGCCTATACCATACAAGTGGAGAAAGGCATTAATGACGATGAAGTGGCCGTAGTTATAGTGCCTCTGTGCTTCTCGTTATTGAAACGAAACACTTATAATGATTTCTGTCGTTGAACTCTGGCTAGTGGTGGGCAAAATCCGGATAACACATCCGTATAACCGAATAATTCTCAATGAAACATTATCCGAATTCAGACTCTTAAACTGTCTGTTCTAACCCGTTTGCCGAAGTGGGTGCATCCATTTACTGAAGTGGTTCTAATCCGTTTGTAGAAGTGGTTCTTACCCATTTGCTGAAACGGTTCATAACGCATTTAATTGCTGAAGAGGTGCACTAACATATTATCCGAATTTTGCTAAAGCGACTCATTGCCCAGCCCCACTCTGTGTTCAATCAGTGATACAGGTTTGATACGTCCATTTCTGGTTTCTTTCTTTTTGTAAAATCCCGTTCTATCGAAGATTGACTTTTTTGGGTATATTTGGGAGGAGTGGGTGTTTAGTCCTGTCTCTTACATTGTGTTTAATGGAGACCGGCATATGTGGTGTAGGGGTCAGGCGCTTCGCCGTCGCACGCAGAAGAACTGAGTTCGATTTTCGTGAGGGGAGAAAATTTTTAATCGGGTACCTTTCTCTTTTTCTTGGGATATTGTATCCCATATTGTATCCTGGCGCTGACAGACAGGGTCGGAGCCCACCACCAAAAATGATCTAATGAGAAAAATAAAAACCAAAAACCATGTGTCCTCAAAACAGCATTATTATGCATTTAAAGTATAACACAGATAGCTCGAATTCGTCGGAAACGGTCTCAGCAGTTTGAGGGTTCCGCAGTTCAAGAGATATTTTACAAAAGTAAAGAAGAAGGAAAAAAACGGGACCGCAGGGACTGTTCGACGGATGCGTCATTTTGAGTCTTCTGTATTCGACCTATCCGTGTTATACTGTATTTACTTTGTAGTAGTCACGATGTCCTCTCCCTTACTGTCGTCATTTTCCCCTCTACTTTTGTATGTTTGTCCCTCTCTCGTGAACTGCTATTTCCGGGGTGCCTTGATAGTCCAAGCAGACTTTGTGCTGTTGAGACTAGAGAGGTGAGCAGAGTAAGCCTGATTATACGTTTAGGCTTCTCTGTTGGCATCCACCCCTTGGCGCTCATATGACCTTATGCAGCTGCGAGCGCCGTAAAACCTTACTAAAACTGAACTAAACTGTTTGCTTACGGAGATAAAAGAAAACTCATGTATTTTGTTTTTGTCTGACGTTTTTTTCTTCTTCCAGGAAATGTTTGGCCGCTGGTCTGTTCCTGAACTGTGCCCAACTGTCCAAACAAGGCGACTTCACAACCGTAAGTGAGATTAGTGAGATTACTTTGCCACTGTTCTCCCAGGCTTCTGCCTCTCTCCTCTCATTATTGTCATGTTTTATCGTCTGGTATATTCTTCTTCTTCTTCTTCTTCTTCTTCTTCTTCTTCTTCTTCTTCTTCTTCTTCTTCTTCTTCTTCTTACTATTGTTATCATTTTATTACTCCCGCTATGTGTGTGCATCGATCTGTCTGTCTGTCTGTCTGTCTGTCTGTCTGTCTGTCTGTCTGTCTGTCTGTCTGTGCGACGAGCTTGGCACCATGAATCGAAACAACACATGTTACAAGTCGTTTAATAATAACCCCCGACACTGCACACCAAAGATCGCGTGATTCTACGTAATTGAACAGGTTCAGAAATCTGTGCCACCCAGGGCAGAAGTACGTTTTGTTCGCATTCTTGCGTCACGCCCTGGCCCCGATCGAATATCGTTTCCCCAGAAAGTAAATTTGACACGGATAGTTAAGCGTAAAGGTAAGCTTTTTGAAACTATTGGAGGGATCTCAACTTACAGCTTTCCTGAATTAGATTTGGAACCGGGGTTACGAAAGTGTTTTCAAAGATCGTGTATAACAAGATAGTTCAATTCTCTCTTTGAGCTAATTAAAAAAGTGTCCTCAAAATTCGGTGGTGCCCTCTTCGAAAAAGCGCGGACTTTGCGATCAGAGTTACGCTGCTTGAGTGAAAAATAATAAAAGGGAAACTAACAAACGGTGCTGTTCCTGTTCTTCTTCAGGAGAAACGAAAAACAGCTTCAAAACAAAGACTGCAACGCCATCTGAAGCAATGCGCGGATCCGCGGACACTTTTTGGGCTGAGTGAACTATCTTGTTATGTACGGTCTTTGGTCCGATAAGCGCGTGGGTGGGTTGGTGGTTTTGGGGGGGGGGGGGATACAAACGTTTGGTTTAACTTCCTTTACGACACAGGTGCACCCTGGGTCCTGCACGTAGACTGAGAGATAATTATTATAATGTACCTTTAATAGAAATCACCTAGATCTAGATACATGTCGCAACCTCAGAATTACAAAGGGAAAATTTATAGAAACACTCCCGTCTCTTAGAGGGTATTTTTTCGTAGCTTTTTAGGTTGTTTTGTAGGGCCCCGAACACGATTTTGGCCAAGAAAAACGTCGCAATTAAAGGTTTTTGTTCAGATGTTACGGAACAACATTTCAGGGGGGGGG